TGTCATCCACAGGAAGGGAACGCAGCCTAAACCAGCATTCTTTGGCATTTGACATTTTAATTTCATTTTTTTCAAAAACAGCCTTGGCAGGCGTGAGTGGAGCAGAGGGAAGCGTGGCTAGAAGAGGAGAGAAAACAGTCCTTCTCTCAATGCTAGAGTGTTTTGTGTGGTCCATCCGTTGTTTTGTTGCTAGTGGGGTATGTGTGATGGTACAGATTTGGCCAATGGCTCTAACATCACAATGAAGCGGTACGATTGCTACCGAAGTAAGGCAGATGCCAGGAACTCGAATGAAAACACTGCACACAATTTGGGAAAGATCTTAAAAGGCCAAGCCAGTGCTTACACAATGCAAAAAAGCAGCAGCAGCATCAACAACAATAATTTTGCCTGCAAGTTGGAAGGTGAGAGGATTAGGAGACCGAAGAGTAAAACATATGAAGAATTGTTGCAGGAATTAGGTGTGTCTTGTCCAACAAAGAGAAGGTTTAGTGACATGCTAACAGTCTTCCAATATTTGAGGGGCTCCTTACAAAGGTGAGGGGGCCCAAACTATTTTTCAAAGCACCAGAAGGCAAGATGAGAAGCAATGGATGGAAAACTAATCAAGGAGAGAAGCTACCTGGAACTAAAGTGAAATTTCCTGACATTTAGGACAATTAATCAGAACATGTGGGTTCTCCATCATTGGAGGCTTTTAAAAAGATACTGAACAGCCATATGTCAGAAACGATCTAGGGTTTCCTGCTTGAGCAGGGGGGTTGGACTAGAAGACCTCCAAGGTCCCTTCCAACGCTGTTATTCTGTTAACTTCAGAGAGCTAGTGCAGACATTGTTGAGATGAAGGGACAAGCCACAGGTAACTTCACACCATTGTGTTTGGACCTAAAATGCAATCAGAAGCTGAAATGCACAATCCATATTTTACAGCTATACCACATGTCCCCAGAAATAATGTAGGACCATACAACAGATCACCTGCAGTACATCAAAATACCTGGGCAGGTAGAACACTTTCAAACGATGCCATTCCTGCTTACGGTGAAAAGATTTCTAGCGTGGATTTCTATTAAAGTGGGTTTTGGAGATCCTTCAGAATGGGTATTTGTTAGAACAGAAAAGGTTGAATAATTGAACAGAGTGGATTAATGTCTACTGTCTGTGGAGAAGACATGGAAGGGCAAGGACTTCAAAATATATACGTATGTATATTTCTGATTTGTGTATTGTTATCTTTAAAGAGCTGGTTATAACAGAAATTCACAGTTGGTTTGCAAAACTACATTGGCTAAATGTTCGAAAGTAGGTCATTGGAAAAATGTAGATAAAACAAAAGCCCTTTGGAGAAATGCATGTTAAAACATTGTGTTGTAAGTTAACTTGTGCGCAAAACTCCATAGTTCAGAAGAGGTTGCAAACGACAAGCCAATCCACAAGTGTGTGTGTGTGTGTGTTTTAAATAAAGCATTTTAAAAATCCATTTTAAATTGAAAGAATGCAGAATCTTGGTAACCTAGAGATAGAATGGGCAAGATTTATACAGATTTATGCAATACCTTTTCCTAGAAGAGGAGTGAGGGAGGAGGGAGATAAGAGGAGAAAAAATATGGGCAGTAGTAGTGTACCCTAACAACATGGAAAACTCCCTTTTTGTATGAGGATTGTAATTTGGGAGTCCTTGCTGTTCTCTGAGCTTGTTTGTTTTCTTATAGACATTTCATTACCCAACTGGGTACCATCATCAGTGCTAAAAGGGAGTGGGGTTTGCTTTCTGTTTATATACAAGTCCCTTCTAGCAATGATAATGTTACCCAGTTGGATAATGAAACACCTACAAGAAACTCAGAAAGCACCCAGGACCCCACAATTCAACGCTGAACTGCAAATATTCTCTCCTGTTGATTATAACGTTATACACATATACAAATGTTTGCATTGTGATAACGTGACGCTGCTTTTGTTATTTTGACAGAGGGTTTGGTTCCAGGGACACCTGTGTTGCTCCACTATCTTTTTCAACAATACACATACACACAACCGGTTATCTAAAGGTCTAATGGCTGTCATTTATACAGTGTGATAAACCTGGTTTGTTTTAACCCTCTTTTGGGAGGGATAATCATGTATCATCCTGAGAAAATGCAATCCATCGGTCCTTTGGCTGACATCGAACATGATACCTGCTTTCGCCTATCTGAGATTCTTTTCAAAATATATTTAAAGCTACACTTTGCCCATATTCCATTGACATAGGGTTAAAAGCCGTTTGAATATTTAATTCAGTAACTGCGTTATATAATGCCACAACTTTAATTACACTCCAGAGATTGTGTGATCCCTACAAACCTTTGATACGTGTTGCCTCAGAAAGACTAGCAAACATTTTTACTGTACTATAAATTTTAATGTGCCAGAAGTCATACATTATTAAATAGATGACAGGAGCGTTATCCACAAAACGAAACTTCAAATCAAATCAATGTTTGTTTGGTGCTGGGGCTTTCACTTTTTGGTTCATGGTTAGTCTAACGGATGGAAGCGGGTTGTGTCTGTCCCACTTCAGAGAAAAGCCACAACATTTTTTTTTTTGTCCCCAAAATGCAAAGCATGGCATCGTATAGCGACCCATAACAAGTATTTTTTGGTGTGACAGGAACGGTTGTGCTAATTCTAAGCTTTGAAGCTCCCTTCTGAGTTCAGCTATAATTTTCTCTTATCATGAAACATTTATTAGATGAAAGAGTTTGGTGCGGGGAGAGGAGATGTGGAAACGCCTGGTGTTCAAAAGGCAAACAACAATGCAAACTGTCTCAATGTATCACATTAGATTCTGGGAAATTAAAACAGTGAATCAGCTGTTAAACGCAGTAAATCGGAGGGTAGGAAGAAAAGCATTAAAATCCCTTAGAAATTGGGATGTTGACTTCATTAGACTGGGGTGTAAATTGGGTATACTAAAAATACATGATGGATATCTGAGTATTTCTCATTTGATGGAGGCAGAATTAAATCAGGTTCAATCCTGCCTTCACTCTATGTCACCTAAAGGCAGGAGAAGAAAGATGGAAACTCATCAAGGAGAGAAGCAACCTAGAACTAAGGTGGAATTTCCTGATAATGAAGAACAATTAATCAGTGGATCAACTTGCCTTCAGAAGCTGTGAATGCTCCAACACTGGAGTCTTTTAAGAAGAGATTGGACAGCCATTTGTCTGAAATGGTATAGGGTTTCCTGTTTGAACAAGGAGTTGGACTAGAAGACCTCCAAGGTCCCTTCCAACTCTGTTATTCTATTAAAATAAATTTTAAAATGGAACATGTTTTATTTTGCAAAATAAAATGCTTTAGAATGAACTAAATAATCTTAAGGTGACAAATCTTTGCTTGATTAAAACAAAACTACGTTTAACTCAACTTGTGGCATGGTGTAAAACCTGACCCCAGGTCTACCAATATCCATGGGAGATCTGTATTATGAATGCACCAGCCAAGAAAGCCATTCATAAGGTCAATCCATAGGCAGCAATTAAGCAATAGAAATAGTTATGGAGACTCTCGGCCATCCAGGTCATTGTTGTCCCAAAGGTGGCTCATTGACTTTGTTTTTCCTTGAAAACATTTTGCTTCTCATCCAAGAAGTTTTCTTCCATTCTGAACTAGATATATTTAATTTGTTTTTCCTTTGAGAACATTTTGCTTCTCATCCAAGAAACTTCTTCAGTTTTAACAGAAGAAGCTTCTTGGATGAGAAGCGAAACCTTTTCCAAAAAATGACTATGGAGATTCTCAGTCATCCAGGTTGTCCCAAGGGTGCTTTTTCAAAAGGCAAAACTTTGTTTTTCCTTGAAGACGTTTCGCTTCTCATCCAAGAAGTTTTCTTCTTGGATGAGAAGTGAAATGTGTTAAGGAAACACGAAGGTCCAGTGGCCCTTTAGAAAAGCACCTTTGGGACAATAGAAATAGTCATTTCCCAAGTGCAGAAGAAAGATTTTTTTTTCTTGTGCATAAACAATAGATAAAGCCATTTAAGTCGCACTGGCTGGCCATGAACCATGTTCACAGCTCTATTGGTAGTCAATGTACAACATCTTCCCCCCTCCCTTCTATTTTGGAGACATAATAAACTTTGGAATTGCTTCTGTGCCTATTGAGACAAGCTTACTTTATATTCATTTGTTCTACATTATCTACCAAGGCATGTCATTCATAAATTTCTCCCCACAAGCAAAATCCATAAAAAGAAATCTCAACATTCAATAGATGAATGTGCCCCCTGATTGACATTATCGTAATTCATTTTCCCCTTATGCATTGGCTGTAAAACAGAAAGCGTAAACAGAAGTGCTAAAAGTTGCCCCAAATTAGGGGCAACAGAGTGACATCACTAGATAATGTTCATTTTGATGCCAGTTATAATGGAAACAGGGGGAGGGGGGAAATGGGCTGGATTCAGAAAAGATAGCTCGCATTTTTCTAAGTGTCATCCAACAAAACATACCTCAGTTAGATTCCATCCCAAGATAGACAGTTACATTTTGAAAAACCACCTTCCCACTTACCAGACTGCCCAGATTTAAGGTGTATAAGGAGGTCCTTCTATGAATCACATCATCTAGTAGGTGTTCAGTGGGAATTGACTCTCTCTTAGATCTTCTCAAAGAAGGAACAAGATCAACAGGCAAAAATTGAGGGCAGTACTTCCAGGTTGTAGCAACTACAGTGAGTCCATTTCTTCCATGGAGTCAACATATCTAGACCAACTACTTCTTTCACTCAGTCCTGGAGAACATCAAGATTTCAGAAGATGGTAAAGAACCCAGATTGTTCCAGTGGTGAAAAAGAGCTGAAGGGCAGAAACAATCAAGAGTAACATCAAAGAATGTGGTGCCTGGACACCATCAAATCTGATAGCAGCCTGAGTACAGAAAAACTCAAAGAAGTAGTGTAGGATTGGAAGATGTGGAGAGACCTAGCCCACAGAACTGTCAAACACAGACAGACTAACTTTAAAAATCAAAGATAAGGGTGAGACAGAGAATTATGAAGTCTGGAGTAAAATGTATCAATGGCTGGAGTCAAGGAAAAAGAAAGAAAGGGTTGACACTTTATAGGAATGAAAGCTAAAGTTCTGTAACCTAAAGAGAATGGAATATAATGAACAAATATGATATGATACAAATGCATGAGTTGTAAATATGTTGTAAATATATGGTTGATGGCAAAGATGGTTGTAAATATGTATATAATTGTAGATAAATGTAAATAGAAATAATATGCAACTAGCACTATACTAATGACATAAGGGAAAAAGGAAAATTAGCTGTTATATGTATATCTATACTATAGCTTGTATGGCCAAAATGGTGGCTAAGAAAGTCGCACTGTGTTCAATTGTTTTTAAGGTTTATTCAATCAAAAATATTTTTTTTAAAAAGAACTGCCAAACACAGTTCAAGACTGGATATCATCACCATCATCATCATGCTGATGTTTGATCAACATGAGTCCATCACTCCACCCGCAACTTGCCTTCCCTCTTAGTCCTCAAATAATCATCCATTGTGCATAGCAACCATCAATACAAAAAAGGTCCATATATATAGGCTGCTATTATATATATAGTTGATTGCTCAACCCAGGAAGGCATCTCCCATACATATTGCAATCCAATCCTAATTTCAAGACCTTGGGAAAAACAAAAATGTGTGACGTAAGAGAATGAAAAATCAGGGGTAAAATGGATGTGGCACTTATTTTTGTCTCTGTCCCAGAAAATAGACCCAACAGATAACAGGTTAAGCACCAGAAGCCAAGACAAGAATGCGATGGATGGAAGTTAATCAAGGAGACAAGCAATCTAGAACTAAGGAGAGGTTTCCTAACAGGGAATCAACAGTGGAAAGGCTTAACTTCAAAAGTTCTGGGTTCTCCAATACTGGAGGTTTTCAAGAAGAGACTGGGCAGCCAGTTGACGAGAATGGTATAGGGTTTCCCCGCTTGAGCAGCGGGGAATGGACTAGAAGATCTCCAAGGTCCCTTCCAACTCTGTTATTCTGATAGTTTCAGTCGAACCCAGATTTTAAATATTTGGTATATTTTGCAGAAAGCTCGCATTTTTATTAAATGCTAAGCCATAAGGTAATTTGTATGCTTTTGAATGTTTGTAAGGTGCAAACCCAGCCATTGTAGCCTATCAGTCATAATGCACGATTTGGTTTATCTTGTGAAACAAATCGATTCTGATTTATGTAATAATGCATGGTTAATCCAAACTAATAGCTTTATGTATGAAACCACACATAGACTTAGGAATGTATTTGTAAAACCATTTAGTGTTACTTGTTTTTGAAGGAAAGTTTGAAACCTTTCCACCTCACCAATAACTGATGTTTATTTGCTCGCTGTAGCAATTTCTTCCAAATAAGTATTCGTTATATATATTAGCCCGTTATATATAATTGTTATTATTGATTGGCGACATTAATAAAAGTAGAAGCAGAATGAAGCTCGACAACCAAAACAAAAAAACAAAAACCAACCCTAAATAAGAAATATGGAAGGAAGAGAAGGAAATAAAACAACTCGGTTTTATTCAAGGGTGATAATGAACGTGTAGGATTAACGCGGTCTAATCCATGTAACTATCGGTTTGACTATAATGGGTACAACGTTTTGCAATTAACAATGTCGTACATTAACTCTTCCACTTTGCATTTGTGCTTTTCACAGCTTGCAAAAGGAAAATTGCTTTATTTGATTTATTTTCTTCGCTGTAGAACTTTCGGTGGGTAAAAAGAAAGACAGTAGATGGCGCCCGAAAGCATTCAAATCCTCTATTTTCCACTTAGATGTCTGATATTTTTTTACAAGCAGCCTTCTAATACAGTAGGCTCCCTTCGATTCAACCTTGATTTTCAGGACTGCGGTATCTGACCAACAGACCCAGAATGATGGAAGGATGTTCAGGGTCATGAGAATGCCTGTCTGTCTAAATTTGGAGGGATCCTTAGCAAATTCAATAAGCACGATCGTATCTTGTTTGCCACGCCGTGCAGATGAATGGATTCTGAAGGCATCTGCCTACATCCTTGGGTAGGAATGGTGGGATCATTTGTTATTAATCCTCTCTAGCCTTTGAAATCCATTGGGCCCTCTCTCTTTCAGTGAGTGACCGGTTATTTCTGCAGACAGCCATGATAGCTAAGGGCAAAGGTTGGTTGCTTTGCATGCGAAAAGGGGAGATTTATTTTAGGTCAGGTTGAGAGAGAGGGAGGTTCTGTGGAATCAAATGAGTCACACCACCGGAAGTTCAGCAACAGCCAGGGGAGCTACAGGGAGAAGATTCCTGCAGAAGATCCAGTTGAGCAACATTGAAGGCCTGCAGGTGACCTTCAGGTGGATGCAAATCATTTTGAGTGGTGGTAGATGGTAGATATCAATTATTGATATTAGCGGATGGCAGAAGATGCAAAACGGAGAGGCAACATGGGAAAAATTAAAGCTCTGTTCTCTTGCCAGTGTGAAATTTGAATAACCATAGTTGTAGATAATAGTTTAAAAGCACTGGTGTTGCTGGAAATTCACAGAAAGAGAGAGGGAGGGGGGAGGGAGGGAGAAGGAGAAGGAATGGAGAGGAAGGAGAGTGGGGAGAGGGAGAGGAAAAGGGAGAGGGAGAGGGAGGGAGAGAAGAGAGGGAGAAGGAGAAAGAGAGATGAGGAAGGAGGGAGGAGAGCTAGAGGGAGAGGAAGGAGAGGGGAAAGAAGGAAAGGGAGAGAGGAGAGGGAGAAGGAGAAAGAGGGGGAAAGGGAGTAAAGAGCAGGAGAGAGGGGGGAGAGAGGGAGAGGGACAAAGAGAGGGAGTGAGCCATATGAGTCCGTGTCTACCCAAGTAGAGATGGAGGAAAAAAATTATTCAGAACATTTTATTTTAATGCAAACATTCACAGTCTGTCTCTTCTCCCTCTCTCCACGACACAGAACAAACTTGTGTTTTTCATAATATGACAACACAGTTTGCTGCTCGGAAAATTCATACCAAAATAGGGTTTGCCGGTGAAAATACAGACAAAAATACCATACATGAAGGAAAATGCTTAGAGAAATCGCTTATGTTGTTGAAAGTCCATGCAGAGAGAGAGAGAGAGAGAGAGAGAGAGAGAGAGAGAGAGAGAGAGAGAGAGAACACCACATTAATATGTGCATTAATTTTCATGCAGGCATCCTTCTGTTCCCCCCAGAACATAAAAATATGCTGAATCAAACTGGCAGAATTATTTCACAGATGCCTGTGGTCCATGAGGGTAAGATCTTCTATGACAGTGGAAAGGTCTATCTGTAAAGTTTTGGGGTTCTCCATCACAGGAGTTATTTAAGAAAAATCTGAACTGCAAATTCTCAAGGATGGTTTCCCTCCAGTGCCACAAAACCAGATTAGAAGATCCACTGGGTTGCTCCCAAATCCATAAATCTGTGGTTCTTCAACTCTAAATGGAGCTATAATAAAATAAAAGGTAGGTTTGTGAGAACAGATCCACTCATTCTTATGTGCTCCCTGTTTTTATTAAATTATGTATGCAGAGTACAATAAGTGATTCAGTGCAGAAATTATTGGGCTGGGTTTTTTATTTTTTTTTATAGCTAAGTGTCCTGAACATATAAGGTTTGCACATTAAAAAAAAAAAACACAACCGGCAGCATTGGTTGGAATAAAAAAAATCAAGCCTCACCTTTTCTTGAGAAGAAATTCTACAATACTTCTGCCTGGCTATTAACCATCATATGAACCTAATTTGCCCCAACACAAAACAAATGCCAAAGGGACAGAAAAAGGCATACCTGCTTGGTGTTGCCCGGTTTGCTGTAAATTGGCTTAGTTACAGGAGTGAACACCTTGGCTCCCTGCCAATGAGACAAACACGTTGGCATTTGAATGGTTGCTGACCTAGAATGGTGACACAATTGTAAGGTTGAATTGGAAGTTCATGAGGAGCAAACGGTTGTTATATGGTGGCAGGTGAAAAGTAGTGAAAAAGCCAGCTTGGAGTATGCCTGCACCCATCGCTCTGTCATTTCTGCACTCAGGTTGGGCAACTCACACATACAGGGAAATCAGGGGTGAGATTCTACCAGTTCGCACCTATTCGCTGGAACTGGTTGTTAACATTCTAAGCAGTTCGGAGAACCGGTTGTTAGAAGGAATTACTGGCCTAATCCTGTAAGGAAGGCAGGAAGGAAACATTCTGGGGTTGCTTACAGAAACTGCCTCTCCGTTAACCCTTATTACATTCTCAGCAGGACTAGACTCCATGTCTCTGGAACTTCTCTGGAGGTTTTTTCCCCTCCTTTGCTGGTACTTTGCTTGTGTGGAGGGACCCTTCAAAGTTACAATGGCACTGAAAAAAGTGACTTATGACCATTTTCCACACTTACAACTGTTGCAGCATCCCCACAGTCATGAGAGGCCAGGCGAGGAGATGCATTCCTCGATGTGAGTGATATTGAGTTGGCCACACCCAGCCAATAACATGTCCACCAAGCCACGTCCACCCAGTCACATGACCACCAAGCCATGCCCACCAACTAAGCCACGCCCACGTGTTAAAAAAATTGAATCCCACCCCTGATTTAGATGTATCAGGAGAAGAAGTTTTAGTTCACAACACAACATTTAGAAATAAGCCTGCTCACAGGAGAGTCAACTGCTGAGATAGATGAAGGTGGAAACCCAGGAGAAGGTGAGTTCTGGTCTTACTTTAGGCCATGATCACCAGGAGATGCTAAGTTCTAGTACTGCCTTAGGCATGAAAGCTAGTTGAGTGACTTTGGGCCATTCACCAGGAGACAGTGAGTTGTAGTCCTGCTTTAAGCATGAAAACCAATTTGCTGTCTTTGGGCCAATCACCAGGAGATGGTGAGTTCTAGTCCTACTTTAGGCATGAGACTGGGTGACTCTGGGCCAGTCCCTCTCTCGCAGCCCAACCAACCTCATAGGGTTGTTGTTGAAGAGAAAATAAAGGAAAGAGTATTATGTATGCTTGCTGCTTTGGGTTATTTATAAAAATAATAAAGATGGGGTAAAATAAATACATAGTTGTAAAGCCATGAGGAAAGAAGAGAAGAAGAAGAA